TATCGCAAAATGGCAGACCTTCCATGCAGTTTTGGTGTTGCCGTACGCTCTAGAAAAATATGAGATGGTGAAATTTCTGACATGCTACCGGGTGCACTAAACGCCGAAGAATAAAGTATTTATATTTTGCAGGCGAACTAACCCATAACAGTATTTATGTATGTATGTACATACATATGCATGTATTTTGTCTTTACAGAGAAAAGTAAGTAACGAAGATATTATAAGCGTTTGTGCCGCAGAAACAAAAAACAAGTAAGCCCTTGATAACACCCCCAAAATAGTTTGCTACTTGTAGCAGTTATGCTGTATACCTGAATGAAATATAATCCTTGGTGAAAAAATTTATTTGTGGCCTGTTGTTCAACACCACCAAAATAGTTTGCTACTTGTAGTAGTTATGCTGTATACCTGAATAGAATATAATCCTTGGTAAAAAAATTTATTTGTGGCCTGTTGTTCAAGGACATATGTATATGTATGTATGTATGCGTGGTGTAGTTAAATGAATTTTATTTTTAAAAAAATTTTTATTTAAATTTAATGTATTTTAAGTTTCAAAGAAGAAATTATTCTGAAGTATCAAAAATTGTCTTTTTGATTTACATAAATTGAAAAAGAACTTAATTCAATAATTCAAAAATAACAAAGTACAAAAATGAACAAAGTACAATAGTAAATAGTATTAACCCTGCAATAACCCCAATAGTGGTGTGGTAAAAAATTTAAATTTTATGTATGTTCAGTTTCCCAGAAGAAAAAATTCTGAAGTATCAAAAATTTTCTTTTTGATTTACATAAATTGAAAAGGAACTTAATTCAATAATTCAAAAATAACAAAGTACAAAAATGAACAAAGTACAATAGTAAGTAGTACTAACCCTACAATACTCGAAATGATGATTATACAAAAATAATTGCATTGATATTCACAACGGAAGGTGCAAAAGATGATAGATTTCAATGAACTTCTTATATAGCTCCTGGCAGGATCGCCAATTGTGGTGTAGTTAAAATAATTTTATTTGTATAAAATTTAAATTTAATGTATTTTAAGTTTCAAAGAAGAAAAATTTCTGAAGTATCAAAAATTTTCTTTTTGATTTACATAAATTGAAAAAGAACTTAATTCAATAATTCAAAAATAACAAAGTACAAAAATGAACAAAGTAAAATAGTAAATAGTATAACCCTGCAGTATGGATATGTAGGCATGGGAAAATTTGCAGAAACAAAGAATAGCGATTGGGTCACATACAACTTTGCCGTTGCGTTGGCGTTGAATTCCAAAGCAGCCGTCCACATAGCCAAACTTTGGTAACGCTAAGGCCAACACAAAGCCGAAAGATC